AAGGTCGAGCTCAGTAGCTGTACGAAGGCCAATGATCGCTGGGCCTGGTGTGTCTGTGATGTAGAATGTTGCTACTGTCTTGCTGTCTTTGAAGTTACATGGGATTTTTACTGTGCCGAGATGTTTGATTTCTGAACCGCCGTATGCAACTAGAATTATCTTTGATTGGTTCAGTGTTCCTTGTTTTGGCTTACCGTTTGCATCGATATTCTGTGGGTACATATGTTGGTAGATTCGGAGGGGTAACACGTTTCCCTGTGCACCTGTGTCGATTTTTGCTTTCAGAGTTGTCCTGTCTTTCTCTCTTCCGGATATGTCAATATTGACGGTGGCAAACACTTCTTCTTTACGGACTGCATTGTTTTCTTGACCTATGTTTCCAATGCAGATGGATTCAAACGAGAGTGTTTCGAAGTCTTCTCCCAGTGATGGGGAAGTGTTCTGGATGTCGTGAATGTTTTGTTGTGATCGCATTCTTTTCCTGCATACTTGAATGTAGTGTCCTTTTCTCTTGCAGTAATTGCAGGTTTGTCCCTTGGCTGGACATGTAACAGATTTGTTGTGTTGGCGACCACAGTTCTCGCAACTCGCTTGACTTTGATTTTGACGTTGGGCACCCTGAGAAGGTTTTGAAGCTTGTCGTTGGGTTCCCTGTGTCGGTCCGGCATGCTGTTGTTGCTGATTTCTCTTGGATTGAGAAATAAAGTGCACTGCTCCCTCGTTTATGGGAGAGTTCATGACGTCTAGCTGCGCTTGGGATGTTTCGTGTGATCTAGCGATGGTGATTACTTTTTTTGCTCCTTCATCGAAGAGTTTCTCTCTGATTTTCCTTGAATTCGTGCCGAATACGAGTCTGTCGCGAATCATCTCATCTTTATTYGTAAATTCACAATCTTGAGCGAGGATCTGAAGCTCGGTAGTAAATTGTTCAACAGATTCATCGGGTGTATGAATTTTCTGGAATACGGAGTTGGACTTTGGACTGACATGTTCTTCGAACTTAGTATAATAAATTTTCAGTTTTGCCTTGTCATCTTGTGTTAGACCTTTCCATGTGTTGACTATATCTCGGCCTTTCTGACCACTCCATATTAGTAAATAACTGCACTTCTCTGCTTCTCAACGGCTTGTGAGAGGACCTGTAAACATGAGCTCGTTTTTATGTGAATTTTTGTTTAGTGGTTAGCTATTTGTCTATAGTCTATATGTCTAAAGGCTATATTGACTACTACTAATTGCTACTAACGAGTTCTATTTCTTTTCATGGTTGACGGACAACCACTCTAACATACTAAACAGGTAATCATTCCCTAGGGGGAATGATTAAATTAATCATATCTTTGAGCAACTTGGCTTAATCATCAATGTCCGAAAACAATAGGCATTGTGCCCTATGCTGCGTCCTATGCTGTCGTGGTACTTCACTTTTTACTACTCTTCACAGCCTTGCAAGTGGGGCAGAACCTATTGGAAAAATACATTGCTTAAGGTGGTAGGAATGGCTCCCGGTCGAAAAAAAACTTTAAAAACGTTATTTTTTACATCAATCGATAGATTATAGGTTAAAGATGACCAATATTCATAAAAATAGTCCATTTTTTTCGAGGAACTACTGTAAAAAGGCACGGATTTCTTTTAACTACGATGGGAAATTTCAATCGTCGCCTTGAAATCTGAGAAAAATCTCGCGTAGATTACGAAGGATTTTGAAAGGAAAATCAATAGAAAATCGATATAAATTCGTACGACATGACGTAATAAGATGTAAGAAACAATATGGCGACGGGATATTGCRYTTGAATGAAAACTCAAAGAGTTATTAAGCGTTTTCTGCCAAAAATGGTACTTTTAATGACATTTTATTCATTATATTGCTTTCTATTAACAATATTGCCATCAAATTTGACTGAAAGTTGTATTATCTTTCCAGAATTAAACTCCACGCAGCCCGGAGCAAACAACTATTTGKYTAAAGATTTRTTCGTGTTTTGCWTGACSTTCCAATTTTTTCGCAACAACAACAACAAAAATTCCGGGCTGCGTGCATTTGATAAAACATCCAAAGTACTTTTATATTTTCTAGTTTGGAGTAATTCCATTGCTAAGCTAGCGAGATATTAAGTAATTTTCAAAAAGCATGGCTGGGCTACCTGATGAATTYTAACACCTTAGGTGCGACTTTTCACACCTTTTCACCTCYGAATTTGAAGAAAATTTTATAGGCCACTGTATAATACAATTGGACAAACTTCGAACACAAATTGAATAATTTTTCGTGAAATGACACCCATTTTAGCCATTCCTACCACCTTAAATATATAAAACATTAACTTAGCAAAGTATTGAAATTCAAGTCAATTTAAAGTCCATTACCACACTTCTTTTATTATATAGAGAGATATTGTGTTTATSATATATATGGTAATGGTGTAGATTACAAAAACACTTAAACTGTGCAACATAAATACCACTAAATGCTGCTAAATTATGCTAAATCTATTGTTTTCTATTGTTTCATTAACACTATTTTGTAGTAAATAGTGGAAAGTGTTGCACACATTTATGTTTTTACTCTAATAGAGTGATSGCACTTAATCCGTGCAACTGTACAACCTAAATAGTTCTATTTAGTTGTATTTAGTAAATTGAGCATGCGGTACGCAAATTAAATTGAATTGATACAAATGAAGCATTCAATAACGTCTTGCTTCAGGTCCACTTTTAGTACAAATTATTACTACTTAGATTTTGTGCAGTTGCACGGATTAAGTGCGTTCACTCTACTGATCAAAACGAAAAACTGTAAACATAAAATTTGAACATTTGAGCACAGACTTATCGACACTCTAAAAATGGCAAAATGYATATGAAATAATTGTTAAAGTTCTAGTCTTACCAAAAAAAACACGCCTCAAAAACAGGTATTCCATTTCGTTGAAATAACCGTAAATACTAAACATTATCAAAGTTTGATCCATAAAAGCTCTATTTCCATTTGAGTTTTGATGCTAAAAGACAGCAACAATCCTGTCCGCCATTAAATATGAATAAGCGAGCAGAGACAACAAGAGAAACAATATKGCGCAAAGTGATCTTTCTACTCTATAAAACACTGCGAAAAAGACTCTGACTGTTCATCTTCTTGTTGAAAATTACATCAAACTCGTGTTGAATTTGGCGCGAGTGCGCCTCTGACGTCACTCCATGAATATGTAATGAGTTGGACGGCATGCTGTTAAATAATGGCGGATCAGAAAACGCGAAATTCATCGGTTCAAAAAGATATCTTTTCGTTAACGTATAGACTCAAACGGCCAGAATACTATTTGGTATTTAT